GGATCACTTCCGTTTGCCTCCTGCTCTCATTTGTTTTTAGCAGTAGCTGCAAGAGTTGTATCATGAAGAAGACACTGAAGTTAAAATATCTCCGCGCCGCTGGTACAACAAGTGAGTTCTGTTGTGTGCCGATGTGTCCAGTGAATAGCAGGTACAATAGAGTGCTTAACATTTTTCAGTCAGGTCATCTGGACAGTTTCTTTTTTTTTTGTGTGTGTGCTGAAACGTTTCGCCTTCGATCCAGAAGGCTTCATCAGTCAAGGAAACACACAACAAAACTGATTCTTCCCCCAACAGCTTACTCCTAAGTGGAACAAACCAGTTCTGCTTGTGATAAGATGGTCTCTTTGGTACTCCCCCTCCTCCATTGCCGGCCCTCTTCCTTGTTGACTGTCTTGTCAAACTGGAAAACTAAGTGGTGCTTTCCTTGACTGATGAAGCCTTCCGGACCGAAGGCGAAACGTTTCAGCACAAAAAAAGAAACTGTCCAGATGACCTGACTGAAAAATGTTGGATTGTATACCTGGATTATTGAGCATGGACTTTGTTAATAAAGTGCTTAGTTTTTTCCATTTTCCAGCCACGATTCGTGGCTAACCGCAGGGAAGACTTAGCCATTTAAGCTAACACTTGGGGTTTGTAGCCGGGATTTCAAACCTCAGGATATTCAAGAGCCAACATCAGAAACGAGAAGACGGTGGTTAAAAAAGTGAGCGGTACCTGCACTGTTGGAGTGGAATAAGTTCTCCCTTCCACTTACACGACCGGGGGTTTGGGAGAGAAGGCAAAGAAGACAGCGAGGAGGAGAACACACCAGCTGCAGACCTCTGTAAGAAACACGATTATGCCTCAGCTCCAGACCTTGCAGTTGTACATTTGGTGTTGGAGTAATGAGTGTTTTGCTACAAGTTTGTAACTACATACTTTCAAAAGAATATTCAGATTTTAACATGCATTTTCTAATCTGTAAAGATTTTTATATACTCATACTCAGTAACTTCAGTGCTGTTACACCCAGGGCCAGATTAACACTTCACTGTACCCTGGGCAACAATCTTCAAGGGCCCCATCATCACGACCCCAGAATCACCATAATCTGGCAAAATACAGAATAAATGACCATAATATACAGTAAATATACTTAAAATTCTAACTATCAAGTGTATTTTTATGTAAAAAACTCCAAATGCTCATTGACACAAATCATCTAGACTGAATTAAGTTGAACACACTTTGAACACCACATGACACCACATGTGCACTTGTTTAGTAACGTGTTGGCCACTGGTGTCAGAAGCATTTATATATGTGTGTGTGGGAGACACACTGATGGGGGGCGTCCTCCCCCAGAAAATTTGAATAAAGTAGATGCCATTTCCTGTATTCTGGTGTATTTTAATGGTTGTGTAACATCTAGTTTTACCTACACAAGTAAACACTTGGAACACTTGGGATTCCCCTGGAGGAGCTGGTCCAAGTGTCTGGGGAGAGGGAAGTCTGGGCCTCCCCACTGAGGCTGCTACCCCCGCAGATGGATGGAAGTAAACACTTGATTCAGTAACTATTTTAGAGCTAATGGCACAACAAGAAGTAACCTGACCAACAGCTGATTCAATAATTAAAAATATTATATATTCAAAGGTGACGATTTGATGCCCACATTAAAATTAAATATCTGTAACTTAGTTGAATTCAAATGTAATAAGATTATCAATGAATAACAAAGTCCATGCTCAATATTCCAGGTATACAATCCAACATTTTTCAGTCAGGTCATCTGGAATTATTCATTATCAATGAATCCAAAAAAGTTCAATCTGGTCCTCTGGACATTCAAAAAAAAAAACAAAGCAAAAAATATAGAAACGTTTCGTCTCTCATCCAAGAGACTTCCTCAGTCTGAGGTGCTGTTTTCAGATCAGTCTCTTAAATAGCACCTTCTCAGAGTGGATCAACCAGTTTGCTGCTGACAACCAAAACCAGCTGGTTTTGGTTGTCAGCAGGTAAGGGGCGTGTACCATTTAGAACATGTGGCCTTCATCTTACCTGTTGCAGGTTACCATACCTGTTTGAGTGACCTCATACATGAGCTCTGACTAGATCAACAAGGTAACTGCTTTTCAGAGTTCATGCAAATGCTAGTTTGTAAACCTATACATTGCCACCAGTTGTGCATTACATTCTTATTCCAGCAAAAATAGTTTGATTTTCCTGCAAAAAAAAGCACATTTGTCTGCACTGGAAGCTCTACAGCTAGCTGCTGCTCTTTGCACATGAAAATAACCAGGGTTTGTGCAAACAACTGTAATGCATAACCTGTCGACAGCATGAAGATTTATAAAATATAATTTACATCATTCGCTATAAAAATGGACAGAAATCCATTTGGGTTGTATCCCCGTCTGATCTAGGGGTTAGCTAATCAGTCTTTTCAAAATTAAACGTTATTTCTCCAAACTAAGGTTGTTCAAAGATCTATCAACAACCGGTAAGATATTAATTGTTTTAAAACTTTTCCAAGAACCTTTTACAAAAGATCTGAAATATCACTTTTAAATAACCCTAAGAGAAATTTCCTTTTGGAACAACAAACCTACTTACAGTGGTGCTTGAACATTTGTGAAGTCTTTATAATTTTCTATATTTCTGCATGAATATGACCTAAACATCATCAGGTTTTCATACAAGTCCTAAAAGTAGATGAAGAGAACCCAGTTTAAAAAATGAGACAAAACATTATACATGGTCATTTATTTATTGAGGACAATGATCCAATGTTACATATTTGTGACAGTAAAACTTTGTGAATCTCCAGGATTATCATTTAATCTGAAGGTGAAATTAGAGTCAGGTGTTTTCAATCAGTGGATGATGATCAGGTGTGACACCCTGTTTGATTTAAAGAACAGGATCTATCAAAGTCTGATCTTCTCAACATGTTAGTGGAAGTGGATCATGGAGGAACAAAAGAGATTTCTGAGGAGCTCAGAAAAAACAGTTGTTGATGCTCATCAGGCTGGAAGATGTTACAAAACATCTGTAAAGAGTCTGGACTCCACCAATCCACACTCACACAGACTGTGAACAAATGGAGGAAGTTCACGAGCATTGTTACCCTCCCCAGGAGTGGTGGACCATCAAAGATCACTTCAAGAACAAGGTGTGGAATAGTATGAGGTCACAAAGGAGCCCAGGGTAACTTCTAACACCTGAAGGTCTCTCTCACGTTAATGTTCATGAGTCCAGCATCAGGAGAACACTGAACAACAATGGTGCCATGGCAGGTTGAAGGAGAAGACACTGCTAGAACATGGCTGCTCGTCTGCAGTTTGATAAAGATCACATGGACAAGCCAGAAGAATGTTGGAAGAATGTTTTGTGGACAGATGAGAAAAAAATAAATATTTTTGGTTTAAATGAAAAGTGTTCTGTTTGGAAAAAAGAAAACAGCATTCCTGCAGAAGAACCTTCTCCCATCTGTGAAACGTGGTGGTAGTATCATGGTTTAGGCCTGTTTTGCTGCATCTGGGCCAGGACGGCTTGTCATCATTGATGGAACAATGAATTCTGAATTATATCGGAGAATTCTAAAAAAATTAAACTTGTCTGCTGGATTCCTTAGAGAACTTTACTAATTGTCTTTTATGTGAATGTTCCTGTAAAGTCCCTGAGACAACTTTGTTGTGATTTGGTGCTTTATAAATAAACTGAGTTGAATTGAATTAAAGGAAAATGTCAGAACATCTGTCCATGAACTGAAACTATGAGAAGGTGGGTCATGCAGCAACACAATGACCCTAAACACACAAGTGGTTCTACCAAAGAATGTTCAAGAAACTATAAAGTAACTCTAAACAAAAAAGAAACTCTAAACTACTGGAAAAAAATTGTGGAGTCTCAGTTGAAACAGTTTTTGGGGGATCACGCTATCTTAGAGTTATTCCAATCTGGCGTCAAATCTCTCCATAGCACTGAAACTGCTCTACTGAAGGTTTTTAATGACATTTTCATATCCACAGATGCAGGTGATTCTGTGCTGCTTGTCCAGTTGGACCTGACATCTGCTTTTGACACCATCGACCACAAGATCCTCATTTCTAGACTGGAGCAGTGGGTGGGCATCACAGGGTCAGCCCTTAAATGGTTTGGGTCCTACCTCTCTGACAGAACCTTCTGTGTCAATATCAAAGATTTTAGTTCGGCATCGACAGCGCTCCAGTGGGGGGGGTACCACAGGGGTCCATCCTCGGTCCCCTTCTCTTTTCTTTATACCTGCTGCCACTAGGTGCTATCTTCCGCAAACACGACATACCCTTTCATTTCTACGCCGATGATTGCCAAATTTACTTCCCCCTGAGGCACAGAGGCACACGCTCTATTCAGCCTCTTCTTGACTGCCTGGCTGACATCTGGGACTGGATGGCTTTAAACTTCTTAAACTTCAATGAGAAGAAGTCTGAAGTCATGCTGTTCCATCCCAGTGGCTCACTCATGAACCATGACATTAACCTTTTCTCTCTAGCCCCGCTAGAGAAACAAAAGGTCACAAATCTGGGGGTGATAATGGACCCGTCCTTAAAACTCAACAGTCACGTAAACATGATGGTGAGCAGGACTGATCAACAGTTACTGGAAATGTTTGGTTGCAGTTATTGCTGCACAATGGTGGGGGTGGGCGGGTTGTCACACCCGGTACTGAAAGCAAAGGTTCACATACTTTTACAACTAATATGTAATACTGGATCATTTTCCTCAATAAATAAATGACCAAGTATAATATTTTGTCTCATTTATTTAACTGAGTTCTCTTTATCAACTTTTAGGACTTGTATGAAAATCTGATGTTTGGGTCATATTCATGCAGAAATATAGAATATTATAGTCTTCACAGTCTATCAAGCATCAACCACTGTTCCATTATACTGGTTGCATATCTGAATATACTGGTTGCATACCTGAATATATTTCCAAACTTATGGGTATCTCTGTTTACCTTTTAGGTTTATCGTGCTCTTGGATTAAATGAGTCGGAGATTGAGGAGTTCTTCTCTGGACCAGCATTTCTTGCCTGGAACCGCATGGCAAACATGAACAAGTTTGGTGGGCCTCTGCCACAGTCCTGGCATGTGAACCAACTGTACCTCCAAGTATTCACTCCTCCTTGAAAGTCAAAACACTTTAAAGCTTTAATGTGTACTAAGAACAGTTCTTTGTTTGACAACCTTTAATGATGAAATCATTGACTCAGGATGAATGAACCTTTAGCACAGTGTCAGTTTCTGTCTGCTTTATGCTTGGTTTCAAGTAAGAGAAACACAACTGGACATATTAAAGTGTTATTGCATTCAGGCATGTACTAAGCATTGACCAGAATGGTCCAGTGGTTAGTTATACCCCTTTTCCACTGTCACGGCGCGGGTCAAATACTTCCGGCTCAGCCTGTGTTTGAGGTCTTTTACATTAATACTTCATACCGGCTCACCTCCCTGAATTCTGGCCCGGCTTCTCAAGGGGTCCAAGCGAGCCGAGCCGTGACGTCAGAAACACTGTCGGTCACTGATTGGTCGGGGGGAGGAGTTTGTGGAGTCTTTCCAAATAACCCGATACGCCATTTTTCTCTACCACCTGCCATTAGCCATAACTCGAGGAGCGTATCTTTTAGTATTTTGAAGCTATACAAAAACAATAAAATCAAAGCTGTGGTCAAATGCAGAAGTGCAGGTGTTGTTGTGCTTGGTGGTCGACGAAAAAAGTCAAAGCGAGCTAGATGGAGGATTGGAGGGTGGTTTGGACACGGCCACTGCTCTACTTGAATCATTTATAGAAGATGGTGTTTTCTAACTTTAAACATATTTTAAGTTACTCATCCCATCGGTTCTGAACATATTTTTAACTAACAAAAGAGGCTGACCAACTGACTATTTAATAAGTAATACTTTTATGTTTTTAAATTTAATGAAAGACAAACCTTTAAAATTTAAGGACAAAATTTAATCTAATTGTTTTCAAGTCTGTATCTTATTGTAAAAGCAGTTTCAAAGATTACAGCACAGTGTGATGTTTTGTAATTTTAACATGAACCTTGTGCATATCTGCAAATAATAAAAGTGAAGATATTTTTAATACATCTTTATAGTAAAAATCTATACTAAAATAGAAAACACATGGGTTTAAAGCAGCAGGGAAGGCAGTAAGGTAGGATTATTAATCCGGTTTAAAAGATACAGCTCATGAGGTACTCCATTAAAGCATGACATCTCTTCCACAACATCCTGTGACAAAGTCTTCACGGTGTTCTTCTTCTAATACGTTTAGTGGTGGCTAGTAAGTAGCTTAAGGGAGCACTACCGCCACCAGGTGGTAAGACGAGTTGGATTCTGGTCCCCGCCTACAGAGCCGGTCCAGAAGTGTAAATGGAAACACGATGACACACGAGCTGATCTGAGCTGACCCGAACTTACCTGATCTGCACCGTAACAGTGGAAAAGAGGCATTAGACCCACTGATTGGCCTGTTGAGGACATGTTCTGTATGTACATGTTTTCAGGTGATGACGACATCCGAAGCACTACGACAGATGGTCTGAGCTCAGTGTATGTCCACATAATGACCTGTTGAAGTAATTTAAAACTGGACAGACAGTAGGTGTGGAAAAAGTACCCAAAGTCCACGAAGAGCACTTCAAAAAGGTTACCAACAATTCTCGATTTTTGGAACCAAAGTGAACTCACCGACAAAACAAAGTTAAGCTCCTAGACAGAGTCGTGGAAATGACATTTTACAGTAAAATACGTTGTTTTTTTTTTTTTTTGGTCAGATAGATATGTTGGGACCAGCAGTGTGTCTGTGCTGCCATGTCACCACCCCCACCCCCCTTTGTCTTCTTCACATTGATGTGAAGGTTATTCTCTTTGCACCAGCTCTACCTCCTGCCTGTAGCTGGACTCATCATTGTTTGTGATGCATCCCACCACCGCTGTATAATCTGCAAACTTTACAATGCGACAGCCTGGATGGGTAGCTGCACAGTCATACGTGAGCAGAGTAAACAGGAGAGGGCTCAACACACATCCCTGAGGAAAGCCAGTGCTGAGGGTTATGGTGGAGGAGGAGAAGTTGTAGATCCTCACTGACTGGTCTGTTTAAGAAGTCTAGTACCCAGTTGCAAATGGAGGGGCTTAAGCCCCCAGTATATTGCCGCGTACATCCATACGCAGAGGTACGCACATACGTACGCAGAGGTACGAGTGTACCCCACAGGGCATGTCCGTGCAAAGCTCAAATTTTTATGACCGCATACGCGTACGCGGTGTCGCACAATAAACTGCCCAGCGACGGACTGTTTTGTATGCGAAACCAATGCATTAAATTCCCCTTCTTCAATTCAATTCAATTCAATTCAAAAATACTTTATTAATCCCAAAGGGAAATTATTTGTTGTTGTAACTCGTTATCCTCATTTCATTAAGAGGTGTTATAGATACTGATGGCTGTAGGCAGGAAGGATCTCTTGTAAAGGTTCATCTCACAGTGGTAGTGGTAGGTCCATCCTTCATCTCTGATCTGGCCTTTTCTTTTGTTTTTTTGCCAAGAGGCAGTGATCTCTTCCTTCTCCGTTGATGCCATGACTGAAATGGTAAGAAATGAAGGAATTTGTCACGAGCGAATTAAACTCAGGTCCAGCATGGCTGCGGGAGGGTCTGGAGATTTCCTGGTGGGCTGGTCTGATGTGTGGGCTGTAGAGCCAGCACTCCGTTTTTTTGGGGTTTTTTTTAGATCTTTTTATTAACAACATATAAACACAGAACACCGCTGTGGTTGAGGCTGCTAGTGCTCTTTTTTTTTTTTCTTCTTTTTTCCGACCTGTCAATCAGTCCAGTAGGCGTGTCAGCAAATGACCAATCGGCGACCTCAATTTGTCCCGAAGGTAAACGCCCCTTGTCTGTGAAGCTGCTCTGCAGCTGCTCGGGGTGTATGCTGGAGTACAAAGACTGAACCCTCTGCGTACAATACATATGTACGTACGCATGAATGGACGTACGCGGCAGTATACTGGAGGCTTTAGTCCTAGTGTGAATAGTTTGTCCGTCAGGGTTTGGGGGATCATGGTGTTGAAGGCAGATGTGAAGTCCACAAAGAGCATACGGACGTAAGAGTCTTTCTGCTCCAGGTGGTTGAGCGCAGTGTGGACCACAGAGGAGATGGCGTCTTCTGTTGATCAGTTTTCACGGTACGCATACTGATGAGGGTCCTCGTTGATGTTGATGGTTGTTTTGATGTGGGTCATGACCAGTTTTTTTAAGCATTTAGCAACTATTGGGGTGAGGGCCACTGGCCAATAGTCATTCAGACCAGTCACTGTAGAGCTTTTTGGGACTGGAATGATGGTGGCAGTCTTCAGGCAGGTGGGAACTGTCTCCAGAGTAAGTGAGGTGTTAAAGATGTCTGCCAGCACCTCGCAGAGCTGATCGGCATAGTCTTTCAACACTTTTCCGGGGATGTTGTCTGGGCCGATTGTGTTGTGCGTATTAATCCTCCTGAAGGTACTCCTTACTTCTGCTGAGGTCACGCTGAGATGCTCTTCATCCGGTGGTGAGTCTGGTGCTGTGTGGTCTGCTCGGGTCTTCAAAGTGTGCATAGAACTTGTTGAGGGCATCAGGCAGAGATGGATCTTTGGGACATTGTTTGCTCCTTCCTTTATAATCTGTTATACACTTAATGCCTGTCCACATGCTCTGAGGGTATTGTGAGGTGAATTGACCCTCGATCCTCTGTGCATATGTGGCCTTGGCCTTCTTAATACCGTCAACCAGCTCTTTCCTTGTCCTTCTCAGCTCCTGTGAGTTTCCAGACCTGAAGACAGTGTTCCTGGCTTCCAGCAGGGTGCATGCACCTCTGCATTCAGCCAAAGTTTTCTGTTTGGGTAACTTTTAACATATCTAATGGTGGAGACAGTGTGAGTACATGTACTAATGTAACCCAGAACTGAGGATGTGTATTGGTCCAGATCAAGCAATCTTCCATTTTCAGCAGCTTCTCTGAAAACCTGCCAGTCTGTTCGATCAAAACAATCTCTCAGTATGGGGCCACTGTCCTGGATCCAACATTTAACTTTCTTTTGTACTGGTCTGGAGCATCTCAGCGGGAGCAAGTTAGCAGGAGCCATTAAGATTGAGATGTGATCAAAGAATCCTTGGTGGGGGCGGGGTTTGGCTTTGTATGCATTTTTTACGTTCATGTAAACACAGTCCAGCATGTTGTTTCCATGTGTTGGTATGCCCACATGCTAGTAAAAACTTGGGAGGCAGTCCTTTAGGGGCCGTTTACACGGCGCGTATTTTGAGTGCATCTGCAGCTTTCTCTCTGCGGTTCTGCTGATCATTTACACGACACCAGTGGCCCCCCTCTTTGAATTCGGTTTTTTGCTGACACCCCGCTGATAATGTAAACATCTCCCGCTGAGGCTTTGTGTTAAACCACATGCGCACGCGCGGACCGACACTATATTTCTATCAATATGGCGGCGAATACACTGCTTTCTGAACTACAACTGATGGAATATATTTTTAATCTCGTAGTTAATCTACGTCAGATTCCAGGTGCTGTGACTGACATCTGTGTTGGAAGAGACACAGTCTGATCCAGTTGTAATGTCGCTGTTTATAGAACGAGGCACGCGCACACGTCGCGCTGCACTATAACATCTAAATGTGCTAAATAATAACAGTTTAATAATAATAAACAGTATTTATGTTAGTGTGCGAGATATAATGAAGCTCTGAGCTAAGTGAAACTATCTGGACATTATGTAATTCAAATTTAAAATGATGCTAAACATATAGCGTGAACACTTAAGTTGAAAATGAAGACATCAGGTTTAATTTTTATTTATTTATTCAACACCACAAACTGTATGTCACACAAACACTGATAATTAAACTGAACACACTATTAAAACACGTTAACTGAACTTGAATGGATTGAATAAAAGAAATGAGGGGAATTTTAAATAAATAGTTCATCCGACAGCTCTTTTCGACGTCCTCCTGCACTGCACCTGGGCCGAGCCTCGTTCAGAACCGGTCCGCCTGGTGGAAGGACAGCTTCTTCTTCTTTCAGGAAAAAATAAAAACTCAGTTGGTTGTTTTGTGACCGAAGTAAACACAAGCTAACATTATTAAGAACATTTGATTTACCTGCTGTAAAACACCTACTGATTATCGCGGAGTAAAGTCCGACATCGTCAACTCTGTTCTGGTCCACTCAGCGACCGGTGTGGAGCTGTTAGATGAAGCGGTCCTGCTTGGCGTCAAATCTGTCGACTCATCCAAAATCCAGCCAGAATCCAGCTTTAACTTGTTACGTTACGTTGTTGTTAGCTGGTTAGCTCACAGGAAAACGGCGTGCCGAGGCAGCACGCATGCGCATTAGGTGAAGGTACAACATTCACAGCGCCATCTAATGACCTGGCATGGTAACTACAACGGATTCGGGAGGGTGGGGGGGGAATCGTCCGGATGCATGTAAACCCAAAATGCGACCGTGTCAACGCAAATATTTTCCTCTAATTAACATACAAAAAAACCTATGTTTCCCCCCCATCGTGTCCTTGTAAATAGGGCCTCAGATCCACATGATTAAAGTCTCCAGCCACTATGTAAAGAGTCTCAGGGTGTTTGTTCTGCAGCGAGCTGAGGAGATCATGGAGCTCCTGCAGAGCGTCATTAGCATCCGGAGGAATGTAAACAACGGTAATGAAAGTCACTGTGAACTTGCGGGGTAAATAATGAGGCCGACATTTCACTGTTATTTGCTCCAAAGCCTTCGAGCATGAGCTATTTACAACAGTACAGTTTGTGCACCAAAGTTTACTCATAAATGCACACTCTGCCTCCCGTGATTTCCCTGTTAGTTCGCTGCAGCGATCCGCTCGAAAAAAGAGTGTCATCCAGCTGAAAGACTGTATCCAGTGTTTCACTTGTAATCCATGTTTCTGTGAGGCAAAGCACCGCACACTTCATCATCTCTTCTGAGGCACTCGCTCTCAGACGAAGCAAATCCATCTTGTTGTCCAACGAGCGGACATTAGAAAGAGAGATGGCACTGGGAGTTTTCTGGCTTTAGCGTTAGCTCTTAGCCTCACCAGAAGCCCCTCCTGGTGTCCTCTTCTTAAGCCGGGAGCAGCGCTTCCTCTTCTGCCTGTTGGAACGCCTCTGCTGCAGCTTCCAGGGAGATGACTTTAAGATCTGCATTCTGCCGAGCGTAGTTTTGAGTTTGAACAGATGTTTGGTTGAAAGACAATACCAAGGTGTGGTCTAAGCAGGGGCAGGACCTTTTATGTCACTGACAAAGTGCTGTCTCACCAGGCGTCCTTGAACTAGAGGGAACCTAAAGCCATTTTCCATGGATCCCTGCACCATGATTCCAGGAGGAGTACTATGGGTCTCTCTCCGACGTTTCTCCCTTCAGCACCGATGGCCATCCATGGTCATGCACCACATATCTCTGAACGTGGTATGATGCCACTCATCAGTCCTCCTGGTCTTCCTGGTTTCATCGCCACACCAAACCCAGCCTGGGACTGAACCTGCAGTCCAACTGACCACAACTTTAGTGCGGTTTGTTTTGTCTTAACGTGAACCTTCACACCACGTGTCTCCTTGCATACTTCTCAACGTTTACATGACTCATTGATTCAGGTGAACGTGGCACACATCCTTGAATCTCCACAGCGATGATGCAGAGAGTAGCTGACATGCTGTGTAAAGCTACAAAAGCTGAAGTAGTTTAAAAAAAATCATAGTTTGATGCCTGAAATCAGGTTTTAAATTCTATGTGCACTGATTTACATGTGCAATGAATATTGTTAATTTTTGTTTGTTTATTTTTTGCAGTTTAAAATTTTAGAGCGCATGAGAAATTTTGGCATGATGCCTGTGCTGCCAGCGTTCTCTGGAAACGTTCCCAAAGGAATTCTCAGGTACTCGTCCTTGTGTTGCTGCTGTTTGAATATTACACAGTATATCTGAGCTATTTTCAACAAGTACAACAGATTTATTAATTGTTGTTGCAAATTTTATATATTCATTCTTTCAAAACTAGATTTCAGTGAATGTAAAATGGAAATAAACCGTCCTTGTGTTTCTAATATTTGATGTATTATGAAATACTAAACAATCAAATGATCCTTACCAGGTCTTCATTTTAAGAGAATATGACCTGGTTTTGTGATGTAAATGATCAGAGGGGCTAAATTATTAGTATTCAAGCATCTTTTTTGTTATTTGACCATTAAGGGAAAAGGCCAGTACACCGTCAAATTTAGGGCTTTATGTAGCAAAAATAATCTAATAATTTCCGGGCTCTAAAATAATTCAAAACTATCCTCAAGCACACAAAAACACTCTGCAGATTCTGCTGCGAAATGTTTCTTAAACAGCAAGTGGTACGCTGATGCCCCCGTCACTGAGGGATTCGACTAGTGAATGCTAGTTTTTGAGACGAGTGCTGTTTTTTTGACGTGTTAAACAGGGAATGTAAGTAAACCTTAATGCTCTTTGTACAAGATATTCAGGAGTTACACTAAGAAGAACAGAGATTTTTTTTTTCTTGTCCAAGGTGACGCAGAGTGATGGATCCTGGTGAGTGGAGGGAGCAATGTTATCCACATTTGAGGGAACTATACCTATTTATGTATAGTTGGGTCCCTCCGGAGACCCTGGGTCCTCATATGAGGACATTGATTTTTTTTTTTTTTTTTTAAGAGAACTGCTTATCATGAAAAGTTTAAATTTTATTTTTAGAGTAATTGGGACCTTCTGACCCCAGTTTACAAAGAAAAATATAAAATGCAAAAATAAACCACAGACCAAAAACATGCATGTTAGGCTGATTGGTAACTCTAAATTGTCCCTAGGTGTGAGTGAGAGAGAGAATGGTTGTTTGTCTCATTTGTCTCTACGTGTCCCTGTGATGGACTGGAGACCTGTCCAGGGTGTCCCCTGCCTCTCCCACGTTTATGGCTGGACATGGGCATCAGAGACTCCTGCACCCGATAAGGAAGAAGTGGGTAAAGATGATGAATAGATGATGGTTCTACTAATCCATGTATCTTGGAGAAAGAGAAAATGCACATGAAACAGAAGCTTGGGTCTCAGGAGACAATCTAAAAACTACAAATACCTCAAATGATAGGGGTGTCTGGTTTACATATATAAGGTGGAAACCATCTTGGATTTTGATGTAACAACACAGTTTTCAAATTTCAATCTTTCTTATGCCTAGTTGCAGCAGCATACTTAAATAAAAGTCAGTGCCTCACTTGTTTGTCAAGTTCTCATGCTCACAACATGCACGGACGGATGGAGGGTATTTCCATTTCCCACTTCTCGCCCTACGATGGGGGACAAAACAATCAAAATGGAAACGCAGTGTGTGAAAAGCTAAGTCCACCCCAAGTTTCAACAGCTCATGAAGCCACATCTAACAGCAGTAACTCTCAGCAGTGGTTTTCTGTAGGATTTGAGCAGTGTCCCACATGGTTTTAGAGCAGTTTTGGTCCACTGAGGCGTGTCAAGTCTGAGGTGCAGCTCTTGGTAGTCACGTCTCTGAGCATTGCACAGTCTCACCTCAGGGTGAATTTGCTAGATGATCCACCAGGAAGATTGACAGCTGTGAATAGTCTTCGCCAGTCTTGTTGACAATCGAACGTTTGATGTACAAACTGGATTCCAAAAAAGTTGGGACACTAAACAAATTGTGAATAAAAACTGAATGCAATGATGTGGAGATGGCAAATGTCAATATTTTATTCATAATATAACATAGATGACAGATCAAAAGTTTAATCTGAGTAAATGTAACTTTTTAAAGGAAAAATGTGTTGATTCAAAATTTCACAGTGTCAACAAATCCCAAAAAAACTTGGGACAAGTAGCAATAAGTGGCTGGAAAAAGGAAATTGAGCATATAACGAACATCTGGAAGACCAATTAACACTAATTAGGTCAATTGACAACATGATTGGGTATAAAAAGAGCTTCTCAGAGTGTCAGTGTCTCTCAGAAGCCAAGATGGTAAGAGGATCACCAATCCCACCATTGTTGCGCAGAAAGATAGTGCAGCAATACCAGAATGGTGTTACCCAGCGTAAAATAGCAAAGACTTTTAAGTTATCATCATCAACCGTGCATAACATCGTCAAAAGATTCAGAGAATCTGGAACGATCGCTGTGCGTAAGGATCAAGGTCGTAAAACTCTACTGGATGCTCGTGATCTCCGGGCCCTTAAACGTCACTGCACCTCAAACAGGAATGCCACTGTCAAGGAAATAACAGAATGGGCTCAGGAATACTTCCAGAAAGCATTGTCAGTGAACACAATCCACCGTGCCATCCGCCGTTGCCAGCTGAAACTCTACAGTGCAAAGAGGAAGCCATTTCTAAGCAAGCTCCACAAGCTCAGACATTTGCACTGGGCCAGGGGTTATTTAAAATGGAGTGTGGCAAAATGGAAGACTGTTCTGTGGTCAGATGAGTCACGATATGAAGTTCTTTATGGAACACTGGGACGCCATGTCATCCGGACCAGAGAGGACAAGGAGAGCCCAAGTTGTTATCAACGCTCCGTTCAGAAGCCTGCATCACTGATGGTATGGGGTTGCATGAGCGCTTGTGGCATGGGCAGCTTGCATGTCTGGAAAGGCACCATTAATGCAGAGAACTATGTTCAGGTTCTAGAACAACATATGCTCCCATCTAGACGTCATCTCTTTCAGGGAAGACCCTGCATTTTTCAACACGATAATGCCAGACCACATTCTGCAGCAATCACAACATCATGGCTACGTAGGAGAAGGATCCGGGTACTGAAATGGCCAGCCTGCAGTCCAGATCTTTCACCTATAGAGAACATTTGGCGCATCATAAAGAGGAAGGTGTGACAAAGAAGGCCCAAGATGATTGAACAGTTAGAGGCCTGTATTAGACATGAATGGAGAGCATTCCTATTTCTAAACTGGAGAAACTGGTCTCCTCTGTCCCCAGACGTCTGTTGAGTGTTGTAAGAAGAAGGGGGGATGCCACACAGTGGTAAAAATGGACTTGTCCCAACTTTTTTGGGATCTGTTAATGCCATGAAATTTGGAAACAACAGATTTTTCCCTTAAAATGATACATTCTCTCAGTTTAAACTTTTGATCTGTGATTTGTGTTCTATTCTGAATAAAATATTAGATGTTGGCACCTCCACATCATTGCATTCAGTTTTTATTCACAATTTGTTTAGTGTCCCAACTTTTTTGGAATCCGGTTTGTATTTACTTGTTTTTAACTTTAGTTTTAGTATGTTTCTATGTTGTTTTTCCTAACCCTAACAGTTTTTATCATAGTGGAAGGATTTGAAAGAATAAAAAGACTTAAAATATGGACAAATCATCCGTTTTAGTGAGAGGACAGGTTACAGGGACGCTTCAGGACCATAGGGACTTGAAAGGGCTGGGAATTCTGGGAACCATCTACAGCCTTAATGTTTTAAGATACTAAAGTTTAACTTAGCGTGGTGATGTCACACACAGACTTTAGAGCTGTCTAATTCTTCCTAAAGGTTTGCAAACAAAGGTGTTTTTTTTTACAAATCTTCCATTTTATATAGTTTATACATCAGATGTAGGCATTTTGTCTTCTTTCTGTTAAATATATCTCATGTACAACTTTGGTTCCTCCTGTGAGAGCAGAGGCTGCTCGCTTGAAATATCTGATTTCATTCTTTATTTTAGGTGTGTACATTTTGTAGTGGTAGTTTATATGTTTAAAACAAACAAACAAACAAAAAAAATCCTTGAAGAGCTGCATATCGCCCACTGACAGTAATGCTAGATGTTTTGAGTAAGATCACCTTACATGGAGGAACATCTGAGCCAGAAGACCAAATTTTACCTAAATATTTTTAGAACTGACAGAGTTCTAGTATTTTTTTGTGTTGGACTCCAGAAGTTAATCATTTGCAGGTACACTGGGTGCACATCCAGTTTGTGCAAGTTTCATTAAAATCCATCCAGTGGTTGATGAGATATTTTGTTAACGCATACACACGTGCACACACAAACACACACACGTGCACAGACCAAAACACAATCAGCTGCTTTCACCTTTCAGTGGCTGACATTTAAAAAACCCAGCCTTGGTCTGCATTTACCCTTTAGTTGAAAGTTCTGTGTACAGGGCGACAGGTGCTTTGTTTTACTAGCTACCATGGTTTTATTTGTTGTAATGATTGAAATCATTTGATTGTTAATGACTGTGTGCTAACGTGCCATATGGTTCGAGTCAGTAGTTCTCCAGTTTTCGGTCTGAACTTGATGCCTGTTTGTGTTCCAGGTTGTATCCAAAAGCTAACGTAACCAGACTGAAACCTTGGGCTCATTTCAACTGCAGCTTCTCATGCTCCTACATCTTAGACCCACGGGATCCACTTTTTCTCCAGATTGGCTCTCTCTACCTGTCCCAGGTGGTAAAACAGTTTGGCACAGATCATATCTACAACACGGACACGTTTAATGAGATGACGCCGCCGTCGTCTGACCCCGTGTATCTGTCAGCCGTGAGCCGCTCTGTGTTTGCCTCGATGACCGCAGGTGAGCTTGCGGCTTCACAACAAGCTGTTCTCTTTAAAGCTGACAGAGCTGCAGGGCTCATCAGCCGGCTCCACGCTTACGTTTGGAAAAGCAAGTGCAACAGAACGCTAGCTTAAAGGAGCAAAAACATAGCTAAAAGCTAAATATAATAAGTGGCTAATTAAACATCGCAGACTGCTAATTGAAAGCAAAAAGTAGCAAAATACTAGCTAAACATAGCAAATAATATTAGGAGAAGGAGCAAAAGCCTCAGTAGAAACAAAAAGTAGCCAAAGGCTACCTATAAGCTAAACGTAGTAGAATGTTACCTAAAGGCTAGCTTAAAGTTAGTAGCAACAATGTCCTAAACGTAGCAACAAGTTAGCTAAAAGAAGCAAATGAAGATAAAAATAGCAAAGCCTAGCTAAAAATGACTTTGAGGAGCAAAAGACTAGCTAAAAAAAGGTAGTAGAATGTTACCTAAAACTAAAAGTAGCAAAATACTAGCTAAACATATTTAAAAAAAAAAGTTAAATCTGGTCCTCTGGACATTCAAAAAAACAAAACAAAAAAATTGTAGAAACATTTCGTCTTTCGTCCGAAAGACTTCCTCAGTCTGAGGAGCTGTATTCAGCTCAGTCTCTTAAATAGCACCTTCTCAGAGTGGATCAACCAGTTTGCTGCTGACAACCAAAACCAGCTGATCACATGCTCAAGAAGGCCCATCAGCCTAACAATGGATCATTAGCACCTGATGGCTGTTTACTATTCACAGAGGGCTGAGTGATACTAGCAATCACAGCATTGTAAGAGGGGGACAGTTGAACCCAGAGGCCTCCCAGAAAGGCATCATTAAACAGGGGTGGAGCCTCCAGGTGAAAGACCAATGAAAGACAAGTGTTTTTAATACAAAAACCGCCAACCTTCAAATAATCATGTTCAGTTATGCACTCAATACTTGGTCGGGAATCCTTTTGCATGAATGACTGCTTCAATGGCAGTTTTTCAGAGAAGTTGCTGAAAATGGAGGTTCGCTTGATCTTGACCAATACACATCCTCAGTTCTGGGTTACATTAGTACATGTACTGACACCGTCTCCACTATCAGAAATGTTAAAAGCTACCCAAACAGAAAACCTTGGCTGAATGCAGAGGTGCGTACCCTGCTGGAAGCCAGGAACACTGCCTTCAGGTCTGGAAACTCAGAGGAGCTGAGTAGGACAAGAAAAGAGCTGGTTGCTGGTATTAAGAGGGCCAAGGCCACATATGCAAAGAGGATCGAGGGTCAATTCATCTCACAAGACCCTCGGAGCATGTGGAGGGGCATTAAGTGCATAACAGATTATAAAGGAAGGAGTGAACAATGCCCCAAAGACCCATCTCTGCCTGATGCCCTCAACAAGTTCTATGCACACTTTGAAGACCCGAACAGACCACCCAGCACCAGACTCACCTCGCCACCGGATGAAGAGCATCTCAGCGTGACCTCAGCAGAAGTAAGGAGTACCTTCAGGAGGAGTAATCCGCACAAAGCAACTGGCCCAGACAACATCCCCAGAAAAGTGTTGAAGGAATGTGCTGATCAGCTCTGTGAGGTGCTGGCAGACATCTTTAACACCTCACTTACCCTGGAGACAGTTCCCACCTGCCTGAAGACTGCCACCATCATCCCAGTCCCAAAAAGCTCTACAGTGACTGGTCTGAATGACTATCGGCCAGTGGCCCTCACCCCGATAGTCGCTAAATGCTTTGAAAAACTGGTCATGACTCGCATCAAAACAACCATCAACATCAACGAGGACCCTCATCAGTATGCATACCGTGAGAACCGATCAACAGAGGATGCAATCTCCTCTGTGGTCCACACTGCGCTCAACCACCTGGAGCAGAAAAACTCTTACGTCCGTATGCTCTTTGTGGACTTCACATCCGCCTTCAACACCATGA